TGCAGCAGATTCAAGCATCTGCCGGTGCTTTTGCTGCACTTCTCGGGGACGGACACGTTGTGACCTGGGGACACCCTGATGATGGTGGCGACAGTCGTGCTGTGCAGGATCAGCTCAAAAATGTGCAACACATACAAGCCACTCGGAGTGCTTTTGCTGCCATTCTAGACGATGGATCTGTTCTGACTTGGGGTGATACTGTCCTAGGTGGCGACAGTACTTCCGTGCGGGGTCAGCTTAATCATGTGCAGCAGATCCAAGCCGGCGGCGGCGCTTTTGCTGCCATTCTTGACGATGGATCGGTGGTTACCTGGGGTAATGCCGCTGCTGGCGGCGACAGCGGGGCTGTGCAGGGTCGGCTGAGACATGTGCAGCAGATCCAAGCCTCTGTTGGCGCTTTTGCTGCCATTCTTGATGATGGATCCGTCGTGGCCTGGGGTGATGCTGAGGTCGGTGCCGACAGCAGCGCTGTGCAGGCTCAGCTGAAGAATGTCAAGCAGATCCAAGCCTCTAAGCGCGCTTTTGCTGCCATTCTGGATGATGGATCCGTCGTGACCTGGGGTGATGCTAATTATGGTGCCGACAGCAGCGCTGTGCAAGCTCAGCTGGAGAATGTGCAGCAGATTCAAGCCTCTGCTGCTGCTTTTGCTGCCATTCTTGATGATGGATCCGTCGTGACCTGGGGTGATGCTGAGTTCGGTGGTGACAGTAGTGATGTACGGGATCAGCTCAGCTGAGGCCCAGCAATAGATGGCAAGGCTTTGCACAGGCACATCGAAGACACGGCCTCGAAGTACTGAGGCTCTGGCAGCCTGTGCAGAACCCCCAAACCTCGACCTCTGGACTCTGGCATGAAGAGACATGGGTTTCGTCCACAATGCTCGAGTGCTTGCAGGAGGAATGTCGCAGGAAGCCCTGCCCAATATCAGGCCGGAAGAAGAAAAGAGCAAAACCCACATACAGCCCTCAAGCTGCAAACTTGCTGTGAAGCCTCAAACTCCCAACACAGCCCTTCAAACAATGAAAGACGGAGAAAGCTAAGCTCAGCGTACAACTTGAGGGTAGCTGGATCGTCTTGGCTGCTCCTAGCATCACAGGGAATCTAAAATCTCAACTCCAAACAAGCCACAAAAACACACCACTGGCACAGAGGAGCCGCTAGCCCCTTTACCTGCACCTTTGATCTGTAATGAATCTGGAACCCGCAACCCTAACCTTAAGGGTCCGAGTCCAAGTACCTTGGACTCGTACTCATACTCCCAAGTGCGAACCTGCATTGTTACTAACCCTAAACCCTAAACCCTAAACCTAAAGTGCCGAGTCCTTTTTTGGACTACAACCCAACAGATCCGATTGACACAGACAGAGCTGGACTACCTTGGTCTTCAGATTGGAATAAGCTGACTTTCTGGCTTTCCTGTGGCAGGGCGATTTGGATTTCGGGCATCGAAGATTTTGGGTCTCAGAGGCTTCATGATGCCTATAATATCATATATCACACAATATATAATATAATATCTAATATAATATATAATATATAATATATATTATTTAAATAATATATAATATATTTGGTGTTGGGGCTTCAGGCCTTCCGGACGGTTCGGATGTAGAGCTGCAGCGCGGGGACCTGGTGTGAGCCTAAGCCTCAAAGCACGGCCCCAACTCCCTGAACCGCCTGCCGCTTAGAATGTGTAAATGGGGTAGACCCTGGATCTCTGAGCTCACAGACGCTCTAATTCAGGAACCCGGAGCATATTCCTTATTGTATAGCTATGGTATCATGGGCCACAAAGCCCTATACTAATGCTTGAGGCCCCTACATTAGGCCAAGAAACTGAAAGGTTCGATCGCAGGCTACCTTCTGTTGTCCTCGCAGCAGCGGCAGCAACAGCAACAGTAACATGTACGAATCATAAGCAGAAGAGAAGACCGATGATGATAGTGAGAATGAATTATGGTAGTAATGATACTGCCACTAGTATTAACGATATTAAGAACAGTCAGCCGCAATAGCAACAACAGCAGTGCTACAGGTATTAACACTATCATATTAGCAGCAACTACAATAATACAAAACTAATACCGATACCAGCAACAACAATAATAGCAATCGCAGCAAACATAACAGCAATGCTGAAGCTATGCAAAGACAGTTCAAAAAAACAGCTAGAACGATACCCACGCTCGTAGTGATAACAGTCTTCAGACATCATTTCCGAGCATCTTCCAACCACACTAGCAACACGGTTTTACACGAATCCTAGGCGCTGAACCTCAACAGTCAGGCGGACCCTTGAGCGCAAGGAAAAGGGCAGAGCATTGGCAACAAGTCTGAATACTACTACTACTATCATTAGTAACAATACAAAAATGACCTCTACAGTTCTTCTGTTTCCTTGCCGGGTCGTTGCTGGGAGGCGGCACGTGATAAGACCTTGAGCCCCGAGGAACTCAAGGAGCCCCGGGGAGAATCGGGGCTTTCGGATTTAGGGGTTGGATTCAATGTAGATTTTAGGAGTTTGGGGGTTGAATGACATGTAACGACGTAGGTTTTAGGAGTTTAGGGGTTGAGTTACATGTAACAATGTAGGTTGTAGGAGTTTAGGGGTGTGATCTTTGTTTCAGGGTTCAGAGTGGTATTTCTAGCCATTGAAAGGTTTTGGAGCTTTGGCAGTTTCGGGTTTAGGTTTCAGCTTTAGGGCATCTGGGTTCTGGATGTAAATTCTAATCTAAGCGTGTTGTTGCCAGGAGGAGTTTAAGGTCTTCTTGTCTAGTCAGCATTCGGGGGTTAGCTGCTGTCACTAGAGGCACTCGAAGTCTTTGCTGGGGATCCTTATGATCTCGAGTGCTGCTGCCATTATACTATAATTATTAGTAATAATAGCATACTATAATAAGAATAATATACTATAGTAATATAATATAGTACATAATACGACACACTTAGCTTCTGCCAAAATCCCGACTTGCAGGAGCAAGAAGAGCAGGAGCAAGCGGCTGGATCGCCCTTCCGCTTTCGCAACGAGTACTTGGTGGCGCTGCTGGTGCTGATTGTTGCGGGCACTGTGTTCAACCCTTTCCAGTGAGCCAGTCCCGGAACCTGCGATCATGAGCAGAGATGTATACGCGCTCAGGGAACTCCATGCTCCGTCGCGCAGCTGCCTCAACTGCTTTGAGGGGAGGTGTGTGCTCCTGTGAAGTCCGTATACACCCCCCATCGATGCATTTTTTAAAAGCTGCCAAAGGTTTCAAGCAGCTGCCCATTGGCATGAGATCTTGTTTTATGATGAGCTGCAGACTGCTCTGCTAGCTGCTAGCTACAGCCGACGGAAAAGATAGCCCCTGCGGCCCTGGTTTCCTTCCAGGGGCCATGGTTGATGTTTGCCACTTGCGGCGCGGCGTTGCTTAACTTGCTGTCCATAAATCCGTATTATGACCAGCCCTCGCAGGTGGAAGTAAGCATGTGATGAAGTTGCTACAGATTTCGAGCCAGCAGAACCTGTCATGTTTTCGGCCCACCTGCACGACCCTGCCCTTTGTTTAGACCCGAGATGTCAAGCAAGATCCCATGAACATGAGGTCTCAGAAGTGACTCCCATGAAGGATCGAGGTCTTGGAACAGCACCCTGCATGGTCCACTTCTGGTAGACTGCTCTGAGCGCGCTTCCGACCTCCCCTCGCAGAAATTTTTGGGCTCACGACGCTTCTTTTATCCTGGCTGCTGTGTTCAGCAGGATGTTCTCAAGGCGTGGCTCTGTCTCACATACGATGGGGTCTGTATAGTCAATTAACAGCATTCCTTCATAGTCCCTAGAGCCGTATAGTATACCCCAAAACTCTATTCGCTTCGACAGTACACCCATGCACATGCAACAGTTCAAAACCCCCACCCGCAACACGGAATCCTGGTTATAAAGTGTGGGGGGGGGGGGGCCCTTGTTGTACGGCTGGTTGTTTGAGCTCTCGTGTTGAGGGTTTGCAACTTTCATCCGCCCACGACCAGAACTGGCAGCCGCCCTTTGTATTTGAGGTTGTTTTCCGTTGTTGGGGTAGGCTCGGGCTTGGGTTGTGGGCTCTCTGCTTTTGGCTTCATGGTGTAGAGAGCATTCAATGGGTTTAGGGCCCAAGCAGCGTTCATGCGGGTAATGTTGGAACCTCTATGGAAAACTGACGCCGGGCGGGTAGCCAAGGTTGAAAGCCAGCCGGGTGTTCTTAAACCTCAAACCCTTGAGACTGTAATGTCCTGGACCTGGGTCTCAAGGCCTTTAATCAATCATTGTCAGCCCTGACCTTGGCCCGCACCCAAGTTTTGAAGCCGTAAGCCGCAAGCCCTTGCAACATCCACAAAGTACTGAAGACTCTGCAGCCACGGGTTACATGAACCCCACATCGATACGATGCAGTAGCCCGAAAGCCTCTGTTCCAACTACCGAAGCTTTGAGGCCCTGAAAATAACTCGTGAGCTCCACACGTTAGACGCAGTAAGCATTCAAGACGCGTAACCCTGAAACCCGAGCCTTGTAAGATTGCTCTAGGCCAAACAAAAATAGGTTGTTGTGTTACAACATACTATTGTTCCTAAGTAATCACAGCTCTCAGGAAACAGGTCCGCAAACAGAAAGCCGAAGTAAGGCACCCTAAACGCTAAACCCCTAAACCCTAAACCCCTAAACCCCTAAACCCCTAAACCCTAAACCCTAAACCCTAACCCTAAGGGATTGTCTTGGTAACTGCAGGCGCAACTCTCAGGCTGCTACTGTCTCAGCTTTTCCGGGCTTTCTTCTGGAAACTTTCGATCCCACTTGGAAGCCAAGGACTCTACTAAGCACGGTTTAGAGTTTAGGGTTTAGGGTTTACTAAGTTATAATAGCTACTGTTCATAGTCGTCACTTAGAGGATTGTTGGAATCTGCCGCCTTGTTTTGCCTGTGGGAGGAACTCATTGCTGCGGGCTTTAGGACTTTCGGGTTTTCGGCCAACGGACAGGGAGTGAGGGGTCAAGAGTCCCGTTGCGTTTGTGCCTTAATTGAAGGGCTTCTGGTAGACATGATTCCACTAGCTGCACACGGTATGGCAGAATTTACCGGTTGGCACCGCACTGTAGGCTGAAGGTGCATCTTCTTCACACCCAAAATCGAGCTCTACCTGAAGTCAAACCTCCGAAACATCCCTAGCACCCCTCAGAAGCCCGGAAACACCCTCTGGAGCCTTCCTTATTAAGATCCAGGAATCCCAGAGCTCCCAAGATGTTGCAGTCCTATGTAAAGTCTGAAACCATAGACCCGGAAACCCTGTGATCCTAACTCCTGAATCACTCCTAAACCTAAATCCCGAAACCCTAAGACCCTAAACCCTAAACCCGGAAAAGCCGTCCAAACACCAACAGAAAGGTTTCAATGCCGAGTCGTGAGATCCAGCCAAATGAAATGCCAGAGGAGGTCAGCTCTTGATATGGGGGCTTCAGGTGGCTTTAGCTTTTAGGGGCCTTAGGGCTCAGGGGCTTTAGGGTTTATAGGCTTTGGGATGTGGGTTTCAGCGCTCGGAGGTTGACTTCGATACTAGAGTCTTCGTGACATGGTGCAGGAAGTAGTGCTGATGAAGCTCGGCTCGGGTGTTTGGCCCGCATGTTAGCCGAGGACCTGGAGGACAGTGAGGCCGTGTGGTCACGCCGCGAGGTGCCTGAGCTTTTTGTTTAGGGTTTGAGGTTTAGCGGATTAGGGTTTAAGGTTTAGGGTGTACAGTTTCGGGTTTAGGATTTAGGCTGCGACGTACCGCTTAGGATTGTTTAGGCAGTGAAGTACACACTACTGTACCTGTAGAGAGCTTTTTGTAGTAAGGCCAGTAAGGCCATGACATTTCGCGGGACCAGAGAACCCAACTTAGTAGGGAATGGAAGAATGGTAGTAGTAGTAGTAGTAGTAGTAGTAGTAGTAGTAGTAGTAGTAGTAGCTATAGTTGTACCCCATTCCTCCATGCCCTACTACCCAAAGGTAGGTCTCTGGATGTTGGGGACTATTATTGGGGATTATGTAGGGACTACTATAGGGATCCATTCCCCCATTCCCTACTAAGAACCAGAGTTGTCGCCACTTTTGAGCACTTCGGCTGCCCTTGTCACAGGCGGCCAGGACACGCCAGATCATGATCGGCAAGGCCACTTCAAGGAAGTGGGTTCTGTAAGTGCTAGCAGCTAGGTGAATATATTTATACATATATACACATATATATATATATATATATACATACATAGTTGTGATGGTTCAGTCTTTCACTGCAGTTTATTCCCCCTCTCATCCTTGGGGGTCCGGCTGCGAGGAGGAGTGCTCCACCTTTCCTTTCAACTCTCGGTTGATTGATGTCGGGACGGACTGTATCAGCTATGGACATCCGAGAGCTGATCCGGACCTTTAGCTCCAGGGTTGAGGCGCCAACCTTCAAAATCAGAGACCATGAAAAAACTACCTTTTAGCTCTTCTGGCCCATTTTCTCCCATCCTGTGCTCCTTATAATAAGGCCTTTATGAGAACCTTAAGCCAGGCCCTTAGGTTGTGCAAAAAGCCCACGGTGAACTCCGGTCAGAAACTGCGCTTCCAAACCAGGCTCGCCCCGAGTACCGCCGATACCTCGCTGAGGCCTCTTGCCAGGGCCAGGGCGAAGGGTCTGATGTAGAATAATAATAATGATAATAGTAATAATACTAATAATAATAATAGCAGTGTTTATAATAATGTTATCAGTAGCAATGGCAACAAAAGCAATAATACTAACTAACAAGAATGATAATAATAGTAAGACGCTGGGTTCACCGAGTCCTACAAGTACTCCTGATTTCCATGAACCAACCCTCCTTTCACAGATAGTTTGAGCAAGGGCCCGATCATGAACGCCAGTAAACAAGGAGGCTTAGTTATCAGGGATCTACCTTCGATGTTCAAGGTTTAATGTTGCAGCTTGGGTTTACGGCCTCTGGTGTAGGGATCACGGTTCTCTGATGGTTTGCGGCTCAGGGCTTCTACTATAAGGTATAACTCTTCAACAAAAATCACAATACTGGTAGTAACAATGACTAGTAACAATCATAGCAGTATAGTTAGATGTTAATTAAGGCAGTATTGAGGCCCTTACATCACATGTCCGGCGCAGGTTCCTGTCGATCAGCGAGGGCCAGCCCCCTCCCAAGCTCTGCTGGGCTCCGGATCAGGGGTGCCATAGGGGCCCTTTCAAGGGTGATCTAAGGGCCTTCTTGAGGGTACCATAAGCGCCGGTGCTACGAGGGCCCTTTTAAGGGTAGCATTGGCTGGAGCAGGTTCTTGGGATCATGGTTTAGAGTTTTGGGCTGCATGTTTTAGGGTCTCCTGGCTTTGAGTCGGCTGGGATGTTATTTGCACCGTTATCTATTCTTACTGACGCGAGCGTCCTTGCTCTTATGATTGATACTATCATCATGGCTGTTAGTTATTGTATGTTGCTCCTTATCATGACCGTAAGTTTTGCTCGGATGGGGCTGAAAGAGTAGAAACAGGACAGAGACCTGAAGCCTTCAAGCCTTGGTTTGTCGCCCGGAGGTCTTCCCCGGTTACGATATTTACCATTGCTACCTTTCTACTAGTGTCATTGCTGCTTCTGCTGCTCTTCATGATGCTGTCGTTGCACATGCTGCACTGTTTCTACCCCTATCCTTACCACGACAGCAGCGCGTGTTAAATGCCCTCATCCTTCATCCTGTTCCAGGGACCAGGTCAAGGGCATTTACAGAAAGCATCATGCTAGGAGATGGGCACAATATGATTTTGGGACTTCCTGTCCTCATGACCCAACATGACCCAACAGCCTGCAGCCCAAGCCGCAACGTCACAACTTTAGCCCTGTAGTTTCAAGGCTGCTGACGGACAAATCCTGGCATTTTCCACAACACGTTCTGTAATTTGGATACTTGAGGGAGTATCAGGTCATGCAGGATCCGGTACACAGCGGTAGTTCCTAAGAAGCCCCCGAAGATGGAGCAGCTAGTTGCAATCCGAAGGCACATCCCATGACACCCAATCCGCGGGCCGGCGTCTCGGAGACGGGCCGTCTCGCGTTTCGTGTGCTTAGGTCGGAACTCTAAACTCTCAGCCAGACAGGGCATTCTTTAGAGGAATGCCGTCAATCCCAGCATGAGAGTTGAGAGATTCGGGTCTAGGGCGAGGTGTAGCAGCCACGATTGAGTGCAGTTCAGGGGCTGTCTTGGCTACATGACCATACCTGCTCGATTGTCGAAGTCATACGTTTTCTTCTGTGTCGCAGCATCCCAAGAACTTCGTACATTGGCAACCAGACTTTTTGCATTGTACAACGGGTGGACGTTTCAGGACTCGGGCTTTAGTCTAGGCTCGAGGTGTGGCAGATGACAGATGGTCATGTAAGCCGCACATGTCTCGTGATCGTTATAGAGTTGTAGGGATCGTGATGCCCGGCGTTTATGGGCAGGCTAGGCGAGGCTACGTCTAGGGCTTTGTACGAGCAGACCCTGACTACAGCTTGCTTGCAGGCATCCCCGGCATCCCCTCAATCACACCTTCATCCGCGTGCTGTCCTCACTACATGCTAGCCGTTTGTCCGTGACAAGTCGATGGAAAGATAGACAAAGAATATATTCCAATGTAGTTGCAAGACAGATGAAACATCACAGAGACGTATCTAGCCATGTAGTTATGTATTGCGATGTATTGGTCTTAAACGGTCCTAAGCTCCAGCTTCAAAAAGGACCGCGTCTCCAAGCGCCAGTTCGATCGTTCGCTGGGTGACTGGCCCCTCCCTGAGTAGATGAACCGTTTTCTTCTTGCTAGTCGAGTTCCCATGTGGCTTTTCTTTTGTCGAGGTTCTTCTGCAGGAAGGAGGAGGGGTTTGGGCTGTGCGGGTGTGTGGCTTGGCAGGGTTTTAGGGCTGACATGCTCTACGTGAAATGTCGCAGCACCGCCGCCAGTGGCAGGATGAATAGTCGCCACAGCCAATATAGTGCTAGTACGAGTACTAGAGTAGCAGTACTGGTAGTGTTACCGGTCGACGTCGTAGAAATCATGGAAGTCGCACCAGCACCAGCAGCACCAGGAGCCATAACAGTACCAGCAGCATGAGGTGTCGTAGTAGTATTGTAGTAGACGACGTGGTGGTGGGGGTAGCAGTAGCGGCAGTGCAGGAGAAGCATACACAACTTGCCTGTAGTGCAATTGAGGTAGTTACTTGTAACCGCACCATACCAGAGTTACCCAACGTCAATCTGTACGGCCAACGAGCAAGGCGTCGTAAGCTCCACGAGTTCGACGCCGAAATGGGCTTCGTGTCGGACAACCCGCTGGAGCTGCGGCCACTTCCCTTGATTTACGGTTTTGGATTTGGATGCAATGAGGACCGGTGGTTGGTGGGCTCCCCGGTTATTGCTTTTTCGGATTCCGCGTTGGAGGGTTTAGAGCTAGATGCAGTCGCAGTCTTGCAGCGAACTTGCTTTGCTGGCGCCTGTCCTGCGGGAGCACAGGTCCAGTCAGTGGTTGGGTAAAAGTAGCTTGCGATTTCTTGGTTGTGCGAAGTGCACTTGAGCACTAAGAACCGACACCTCAACCCTCACATTACAGTAGCCCATGATGCGTGGATGCGTGGGTGCCGAGAGTGCAGCGGGTGTAGAAGAAGCGCCTTTTCGGTTCTGCTGCCAACACCGTTGCGACTCCTACTGCATATTTAATACTGCGCCGATGTATGGGGAAGCCCTGACGAAGCCCTGCTGCACAATGCCGAAAACCATGGCAAACCGGAAGCCCAGACTGGCCCTGATACCCAAGAGCCTCACATGTTGGCTTAACTGAAAGCTCCCATCCGCTGGTGCAGAAGCATAAATCGAGATCTGTGAGTACAGTCAAGTAAAGGCGTAAGAGAAGCATACCGAGAGCGCACGAAATGCGACAACACGAAAAGCCAGCGCTGTCGCAATGACGACGACCACGTCCACGGAAGACAAGACAATAACAATAATCAGAGTTCAATAGGCCATAATCATAATGAACATAGTAATGATAACAATCGTAGTGACCATGGTCATAATAATGATAGCATCTGGCAGGTCAAATTCCACCAGTTCCTCGGAAGGGCCCGTACAACCGGGACCGGATCCAGTGCAGGGCTTCCAGTTTGGAACTGGGAGCCGTAGCTTTTGCGGTCATGCGCTTCAGGAATATGTTTGTTTTGGGGGGGAGGGATGGACTGTTCAGGACCTTGATGATTATAAGTATAGTAGTATAGCAGATATAGCAGTAGAATATACCACAAAGCCTCATTCCAATTTTTGAGGCCCTATAAAAGAGTTCAGAGTCCAAGCTTTGGGCTGTAGGGTTGCGGATCCTTTGTGGCTCTGTTTTACGATCTCTGGGGCACCCCCCAGTGTGGTCATTGAGGCGCCCATGTTCAGGCCTTCGTTGTTAGGTTTAGGGTTTTAGGGTTTAGGAATTTAGGGTTTAGGGGTTTAGGGTTTAGGAGGGTTTAGGCTTCAGGGTATAGGTTGCGGTTCACATTAAGGGGCCCAAATCCAGCCGGCGTGAGGAGCGATGCCTCCAAGCCTGCCCACATGCAACGGGCCGGCACCCCACAAGCGTGGGCTTTTTAATCAGGGTTGTATGTGGAGTTCAGGGCCGTTAGGACGGTTTTAAGTAGTTTAGGGAGTTTAGGGTTTAAAGTTTAGGCTGGCTTGGGTCCCGAATTGGCGGAGGGCTCGCTTGTCTCAGACCCCACGAAGAGACATGAAGGGACTCCTGAAACTATTCCCCATAAATGGTTGGCATGTCGTGGTAAGTTCTTTTTCCATACTGCAGCAATGGGTCTATGTATGTAGTGTCTTGCTGCATTCCCAACTGTATAGACGACGACGAACTACATGTTGAGAGGTTCTTGTTCCGAACGTGCCATTTTCTGTGTCGTCGTCTTGCCAATGATTATATCCCATTTTTTGTCCATTCCATGCGTGCGGCCGCTGTGGCCTGACAAGTTCTCAGCAATGACTGGGATTGCGGCACACGTGAGACTCTACACTGGCAAGAACCATGAGCGCTACGGCCGCTACAGTAGACCTTAATCCGTAACCCCTCAACCCTAAACCCTTACAAACTTTTCAGGGCCACCACAGCAGCAGCAACTGGAACAATAGACCCTGGAGGACAGCAGCTGAACCCAGGGACTCCCCCACGTCGAACCCCCCGAACCGAGGTTGGTGTTTAGGGGGGTGGCCGGTAGAGGTTTTGAGAAAAGTCTTCGGAGTTCAGCGATGTAGGAATTCGGGGTTTAAGGTTTTCTCATAGGCCCCAATACCCAGAGATCCCTGATATGATTCCTTAATTGAGGGATATTGGAGTCTCTGGATAATTGCAAAGTTGGGCAAATGCAAGGTCCTCCCTGCAGCCTCCAACCAGGCGCAACGTTTGTCAATTCCCAGTTCAGGGTTTGGGTGATGTGGCGTCCCTTGGGGGATAGTCATAGTCTAATGCACGGGCCTGCATAATTAGTATAGGGTTACGGGTGATATATTTCACTATACTTAATTATCCTACATTAGGTGCTTTGGTGTTGCAAGCAGAGGGTGGCTGTAGTCGAAGATCTTCAAAAAGGCGATGTTCCTTGCTTCGTGGATGGGGTTTTCTGTTCGTTTTTGTCCAAGCTACCTATTCTCATGGTCCGAATCTCTTCAGAAAGTAACGTGTTTCATATAGAAACAAGGTCGGATCTTAAGGCTTCGATCCAAACCCTCAACCCTAAGGCCCTTAAGCCGGAAACATGCCGAAGCCCCAAACTTCAACCCTGAACCCTCAATCCTAAGCCCCTGTAACAAAGCCTCAACTGAAAACCCTACACCTCCCTCTAGCACAGGCCTCCGAGCTTCCTACCCATGCGAGGCCATGTTGGGCATTTCCGGGCTGCGGGGTTTTGGGTGTACTACCCGCCATGTGTGCTTTTTGGTTTCGGGCTTTTGGGCTTTTTGAGGCGGTTGTCTGAGGCTTTCGGTTTTGTGAATATAATTTTGTTGGGAGGGTTTGGGCGCAGCCTTTGCCCATCTCGCTAAGCAGACTGCCGCATCATTCCGGCAAGATTTCCGAGCCAAGTCGGGCTCTACTATTTGTGTAGCATTAGTATGCACCTAAATCCCACGTTCAAAGGCGAGTCGCAAGCATCCTCTTTGTTGGCGCCAGCTGGGGCGGCTCCGCCGAAGCCCCAGTCAGAGGGCTTCACAGAGCGGCTTAGGGTTTAGACTTAGGCTTTCGGGTTGAAGGTTTAGGGTTTGTCCTTAGGCAACAGAGAGATGTTCGAGGAGACCTATGCCTATGCCCGAGGTATGACAAGCCACTTGCCACTGCGTTGTGAAGACTTGGCTGGCCTGATTCGTTACCCACAAACCAAGTTAGTAGCTGAGTGGATACACTTTACACTTGTCGGGATACTATTACCCACTATAGAACTGATGAAAGTGTACACTTCTTGGGGCTTATGAACTCAGCAACTAAGCCAAAACCATGAACCCTAGACCCCATGCAATCGAAGCTATGAGGTCTTCAGCGCCGCAGGCGACCTCGGGCGCACCTCAGGCCAGGCAGAAAGGAAGCCGAGATCTTGCGGACCAGTCACCTGAAGCCCCAGATCTGAGACCCAGAAGTCGTGATGTTGGTATTGCCGGGGCGTTGATTAAGTACCTATTCCTTTTTGGGGGGCCTTTTGTTATGATTCTAGTGGTATAATGGGCCCCAAAACCCTATTCTAATTATTAAGGCCCCTATGTTAGACTTGCCCTTTGTGTCGGAGGTGTTGGTTCCACAGCATCCACCGCCGTCGCAGCCTCCGATAGTGCATGAGTTCTGCCCAGGCACGGCGGCCGAAAGCCATGTGGGAGCCGAAAATAGGGGACCCTAATATTATAGTACCCTAAATAGTAGGATCCTTATTATACGGGCCCCAAAACAAGGTATCCCGAATTTTTGGAAACTCCCATGTGGGCTCCGCGATACCCCTTAACCAGAAACATGCGAAGCCACGAGCCCCCTTGAAGGGCCCCTCAACTCCAAACCTTTCCAGTACCGGAGTCGAGGTGAGAACCCCTCGGCCTTTTGCACCAGACACCCCTAAACCCTAAACCCTAAACTTTCTGCCCTTGAACTGGGGGCCGGAATGCCAGAGACGACCCGAAGTAAGAGCCGAGGTGTGTTGTTGCTTTTCGGGTTTAGGCTAGCATCTTGGAGTTTCCGGAGGTCTTTTCTGGTGATTTGGACTCCCTGGGTCTTAGGGCTTTGAGGGAGTTGACGATCGTAAGGCTTTGAAGCCCAGATTGCCCGAAACCGTCATCCCCAAAGTCCCAAACCCTAGTTAAAGCCCCTTGTCAAGACTTCTAGTCCTTAAGGGTTTAGGGTTTAGAGGTTTGTTTAGGGTTTAGGGTTTCCCTACATAAGCCTTGCTCTTCGGCCCGAAACCCAACTCGAAACTGCCAGGCATTGTCCAACTGCGCCTCGCCGACCAGCTGCCGGTTCCACCGCCGGATTCTGCTCCCTGGTGGCAGTGCGATGGTTCAAGCGGTTTGGATTTCCGAGGGTTTCGGGTTTAGGATTTCAACTTGCGAGCATTAGGGATGAGAACTTAGGGCTCGAGGCTCAGGGTTTAGGTCAAACTGCCAATGAAGGTTAGGGTTTTCCTGAATAAACCGCCCGTCGAATCATTGAGAACCAGCAAGATCCCGGGCAACAGCCTTTCTGCAACCGCATAGCTTACATCAGCTACCTGAAGCAGAGCTGAGGCGCACCAGGGGCACCAGGCAGTGGGTTCAGTCATTGCACCTGCTTGCCTTTACAGGGCTCTACAGGCTGCGTTGAAGCTGTGGTCGGATAGTAGTAGAATCAGCAGAAGTGGTAGTAGTGACAAGAAGTGTTAATTTTTCTCAGTATCACAACTGTTATGTGTAGTAGGTCGTTTCAGAATTCAGGCGTTCTGGATTTCAGACTTTGGGGGTTAGCACCGTAATAATTACAGAATCCGCCACCACCTTTGCCTTCAGCACCCCGATGTGGTCGCTGTATACCGCTTTATACACTACGATTGCTAGTTTTTGAACTCTGTGTCCATGGTGATAAGTAACACTCCTTCTAGGTGGCTGTTCATCGGACGCGAAACATGGTAAGGCCCCCTGCCTACCCTCAAAGTCAAGGCAGCTAACTCGAAGCCATAATTTTGACTTTATTGTATAGTAAGGTGATAGCTTCAAACTTGATGTTTCATGGATCATGGCTTCTGCCATGCCTTATCAAGCCCGGAGCCAGCCCGAACCTAATCTTCAAGCAAATGAACACATTTAGAGTTCAGGGTTCAGGTATTCATTCAGCTAGATCGAAGAGTCGATGGTAGAAATCAAGCCTGCGATCCTTAAGACCCCAAGCCCTGAACTTACCGTAAGCCGCAAAGCCCCAACCCCGTGACTTGCCCTAAACCCAGCCGATAGCCGCAAGCCTTGGAGGGCCTATGGGGGTTTAGTAGGGATAAGGGTTCCCACACTAGGGTTCATATTAAGGAATCCCTACCCCAAGAATCTTAAACCCCCCCTTTTGGCCTCCCATCATGAAACTCTACCCTTCAAGCTCCGCCGCTCCTGCACTTCCACAGAAGGCTCCCGAGTTTGTCCCCCAGGCACAACAACCGCAGGAGAGAACATGCTGTTAGGTTCGCATAGGAGCTCCTAGAGTGTGCATGTGTCCCGAGAAAAGGTACCATAATTGAAAGGGGTTTTCGGTTTTATGAAGTTATTTGCAGTTGTTTCTTGTCTTGGTTCTGGTGTTTTTGAGGCTCCAGGGCTTGAGAGTTGGATGCAACAAAGCGACTTCTGTCTCGAGAACCCAATTACGTGCTTCCTGGTTTGGGGATGTTCCGGGTTGTCGGGTTGCGGCTCTGGGTGGTACGGGAGAAAGCCGTAGAGTCATGAAGCGATGAAGCAGCTCATGACTCATGAGTCAGGAGCTGCTTCATAGTTCGAGGTCTGAAGGTATCGACAACTTCTAGGTCGGACGTATTGCAGGCACCCGCCCCTCCGAAGCAGTTTCACTCCAAGATCCCTCCAGCTCAAACCCGGGCACCATGAATACAATCCAGGCCCGGCCCAAACCCCAAAATACAGGACACGCAACACCCGAACTTCTTCCCAGGACTTCCCTCCCGTTGACTACGCCAGCGCTGCGGCCATCGGCATCGCAGTCGCTATGGCCACGCTGATGGGTTCCGGGCAGATGTCCTCGCAGGCTCCGGGTCAGATGCCGGGCTCCCTGGAAAGACATGGGAGTTTCCGAAAACTAGGGGTACCTTATTTTGGGGTCCTTATAATGAGGATCCTAGTATTTGGGGTACTGTATTAGGGTCCCCCATGTTGGGAAACTCCCACATGCTTTGTCTTGGGAGTTGGGGGCCCGGGAGGTCTGCGCCACATCGTAGATGTATATATAGTTCAGCATCTTCTTATGATTCAGACTCCCGTTCCATTTTTCAAAGATGCCCAAACTCATCTGGACCTGTCAGTCTACGAGAGCTGCAGTGAATTCAGGCCTTGTGTGTGATCCGTGGTTTCCAAAGCCCACTTGGCACGTCGTTTCAGAAAACAGCATCTGACGGCCAAACCTTCGAACCAGAGTTTGGGGTAGAGTTGAAGTGGGAGAAATACGAGTGCACAAAAAAAACGTAAGTGAGAGAGACAGAGAGCGGACAAACGCAGAGCATGCTTGAGGAGGCAAGTGTCAAGTTTACAGCAAGACAGCATGAGAGCGTGAGGGTTCTCAAGCTATGTTATAGCTCGAGGATTGGATTGCTGATGCTTGGATATTGGCCGGACTTTCAGGAAGTAGCGTCTGATTGTTCAAGACCTTGGATTGGGTGGGTTCTACAAATTTGAGATCCTTCAAGGAGTCCGGCATGTCGATTGCAGTGGAAATTCACCTGCTTAGCGGCAAAAGAGCAACTGTTACAGCAGGCCTGGATGAAATTGTGCAGACGTTGAGCCGACGGGCGCAGATCGCACTTGGAGCAGGGAAAGGGCGGCTGCTGGACTCCTCTGGAGTTGTTCTGGATGGAAGCCAAGCGATTATTAGCAACGGGATTCAACATGGGAGCGAGCTGACATTGCACGTAAACGAACTTAAAATTCAAGCTACTCATGGCGCCTTCGCTGCCATCCTTGGCGATGGATCGGTCGTGACCTGGGGTTCTGTTGCCTCTGGTGGCAATAGCAGCGCTGTGCAGGGTCAGCTGCAGGATGTGCAGCAGGTCCAAGCCTCTGATGATGCCTTCGCTGCCATCCTTGGCGATGGGTCGGTTGTGACCTGGGGTCATGCCGATGCTGGTGGCGACAGTAGCGCTGTGCAGGGTCAGCTGACGAATGTGCAGCAGGTCCAAGCCTCTGATCGTGCTTTCGCTGCCATCCTTGGCGATGGGTCGGTTGTGACCTGGGGTAATGCTGGCTTTGGTGGCGATAGCAGCGCTGTGCAGGGTCAGCTGCAGGATGTGCAGCAGGTCCAAGCCTCTGATGGTGCCTTCGCTGCCATCCTTGGCGATGGATCGGTTGTGACCTGGGGTTCTATTCGCTATGGTGGCAATAGCAGCGCTGTGCAGGGCCAGCTGCAGGATGTGCAGCAGGTCCAAGCCTCTGATCGTGCTTTCGCTGCCATCCTTGGCGATGGGTCGGTTGTGACCTGGGGTAATGCTGACTTTGGTGGCGACAGTAGCGCTGTGCAGGGTCAGCTGACGAATGTGCAGCAGGTCCAAGCCTCTGGCGGCTCCTTCGCTGCCATCCTTGGCGATGGATCTGTCGTGACCTGGGGTTATGCTGGCTCTGGTGGCGACAGTAGCGCTGTGCAGGGTCAGCTGACGAATGTGCAGCAGGTCCAAGCCTCTGGCGTCGCCTTCGCTGCCATCCTTGGCGATGGATCTGTCGTGACCTGGGGTAATGCTGGCTTTGGTGGCGATAGCAGCGCTGTGCAGGGCCAGCTGCAGGATGTGCAGCAGGTCCAAGCCTCTGATGGTGCCTTCGCTGCCATCCTTGGCGATGGGTCGGTTGTGACCTGGGGTAATGCTGACTTTGGTGGCGACAGTAGCGCTGTGCAGGGTCAGCTGACGAATGTGCAGCAGGTCCAAGCCTCTGGCGGCTCCTTCGCTGCCATCCTTGGCGATGGATCTGTCGTGACCTGGGGTTATGCTGGCTCTGGTGGCGACAGTAGCGCTGTGCAGGGTCAGCTGACGAATGTGCAGCAGTCCAAGCCTCTGGCGGCGCCTTCGCTGCCATCCTTGGCGATGGGTCGGTTGTGACCTGGGGTAATGCTGACTTTGGTGGCGACAGTAGCGCCGTGCAGGATCAACTAAGAAATGTTCCATAGATCTGGGTTTGCATGACAGTCAGTTTTTGAGCTGAAGGTGCAACCCTTTTGCAAAGATGCGCAGTAGCTTGCCAAGATGCAGCATCGAAGTGCTGACCGGGACTGGCAACATGAAGAGAAGCCAGCTTCCATGGTTCCTACACCCTCAATCACGACACACGAAAGCCGTACCGGGTCCTCTTCAAGAAGCTTCGGCGGAGCCTTCTGACATCGCCGCCAAGAGGTGCAGCTGTTACAAGCCAAAAGCAAGCGGAATGCTTTTTGCAAATGGCTGCAGCATATGGGAGTTTCCGAAAATAGGGGACCCTAACATAATACCCTAAATAGTAGGATCCGTATTGTAAGGACCCCAAAATAAGGTACCCCTAATTTTCGGAAACCCTCACAAGTACTGGCGATGCACAAACTTCTGCTTGCTGAGCCCAAAGCAAGGATGAGAGGTGGCACGGCTACATGTATTCTATCACTGTGTGCCTGTAGACTTTGTCATAGTTGGGTAACATTTTACAGTTTTATGGGTACTTAAGCCCTATAAGGAATAAACATGCACATATTTAATCCTATCCCAACCATGAGCTAGTAGACTATGTCATTGTAGGCAGTGCTGTATCATGGCATGGGCTGTCTTACAGTTCAGGGTTTACGGCTTAGAAATTGAGGATGACAAGCATCGCTGCGAGCCGCAACCCTAACATCATACGATAGGAGTCCTTACGATAACGTGTCGCATAGTATCTTGAAGGCCTCTACATTACCGCAGCTTCTTCCTGCACCCCGACGCAGGCCCGATAAGTCCCGTGACCCTAAACACAGCAAGCCCTCGCGTCTGCCCACATGCCTAGGCCGTGGGTTCCGCAAGCAGAAGTCTACGATCCGAACATGTATGCCCGGAGCTCGCTTTGTTTGTGGTTCGATAGGCACAATGGCCAAATCAAGAGTAGCATACTGCTCTTGCGAAGGCATGATATTGTTATGTCTGTACTAGTTAAAGTTTGCATCATACTAAGATTATTGTTGTGATTTGAGGTTTAGGACGATCTCTGGTGTACCAGAATCTAGGTAGTGCAGGTGGTCTCTGGACGCAATATAGGGGTCCGAAAAATTACCCTATGCTGGTTGGCTTGTTAGTCTGAGATGAGTTTTCTCTCCTGGGCAGGGTCTCGAGTTTTGGATGGGCCTGACTTCTCCCGACTGGTTGCTCTGAGGTTTGGGCTCGGGGCCGAGATTTGTATCTCTATGGGCCTATGGGCTGTCCAGGATGTTGGGCTACAATCTTGGTGGTTCGGTGGATGAAGACCGGCACTGTTTGTTCCCGAAGGTGTTGTGCAGGCAGACGGTCAGGGGCCCACATTATGGGGCCATTGAAGAGGCCCTTGGCGACAGAGCGGGGATGCTTGTACGGCATGTTGCTTTTTTTTGGCCGCCCCTCTTTAGCGGTCTCCTCAGGGCTCTTGGAGTCTTGGAGCATAGCCGCTGGGAGATGTGTGCTGTGAGTCTGTGAGCGTGACTGTGGCTGAAATCAATTCAGCATTTACTCACAGTTGGCACTTGTTCGAGATAGCTGGCTTGGGGTCAGGTGCTGCTGGTGCTCTTACTATTGCTTGCAGCAGCTGCAGCAGCAACAACAACAACAAGGAAGTACTTGCGTTTGCCGCCGCGCGGGGTGTGTCGTCGATTTTTGTCGGAGGTTTTTTGGTCCAAACGCCTGTAAACTTCGAGTTTTGTGAGGTTTTCGTCAAGAAGACGATGTTTCGGAGTTTGTTGTTTCCATAGTTTTTTGGTCTCGCTTTTTGGTGAGGAGTTTGCGATAGTGTCGCAAATGCCATGCGTTTCGTCCTTCATGTTTGTTGATTTCGGGGGTCCGTTGCGAAGTTTTGTCTAGAAAGCCTAGAAACGAGTGTTTTTGTATTGGTTGCATCTTAAAAGTAACAACCAGGGCAACAGGGAGCAACATTGTCAATGTAATTATTATTGTTTTCCGCAGGTATCGTCCTCGCCATTGTTATCTTCCGCATAAGCAATCAACATCATGCAAATTAACATCAACATGCCCCCGATCCACCCTCCCCACCAATGCACAGAGCAGAAAGAGAAGCAGTACATGTAAGCCGCATTCGCATGGGTCATCAGCCCCCCCATCCCCACCAATGTACCGCACCAGAACATACCAAAACAAGGTCAACAAGAGAAACACAAGACAGAATCCACATTCGCATGGACGTCATCAGGCCCCCGGCTTCCCCCCCGCCCTCCTTACCCCTGCACGGAGGTGAGTACAAAGGGAAGTCCAAGCTGGCATGTGCAAAAGTGGAGAGTCGGCAAGAACACTTCAAAAACCGATGCGAAAGGCGACACACAAGGAACACACCGAAAAAAAACGATGCGAAATGGAGAGCTCAGCATTTTTTGTACAATGTTGCCTGTCGGCTGTCGCCTTTTTGCTAGCAAACCACAATCACGATGCGAAAACAAAACGCAAACTCAATTCCGGATGAGCAAAGTGCCAAAACACGAGTTTCAGCACATGCCAGCAAAGAAATCGCACCACTCCGCGCGGCGGCAGACGCAAGTGCTGCCAACAACAACACCAACAACAACAGTAGCAGCGCGATAGCAGCAGGAATACCTACTACTAGAATCACATTCGTTTTAGAGACGTCGGTGCTATTCACGTGAGTACGAGTGGCGATTTCCACAGCATTTGGTCATTGCGAAAGCTGCGTAAAAATCCAAATTTTGGGAAGGCGTTCCATTTTCCTAAGCCCTATAAACAGGGCCACAGCCCTGAGCCCGCGCGCACTGAGGAAAGGACGGCCGAAGCCCACGAGATGCCTATCTTCTACAACTCGCCGATGGCGGGGTGCAGAGTTGTTCAGTGCTTGGGGTGGGGTAGGGAGAGTTCTGGGTGGTTTCGAGCTTTTGGGTGGCTTGTATGAAAAGGGACTAGGTTTCTCGTGCCCCTAAACTTTCAATAGGCCAAGTCGGCCCCGAACCCTAAACCGTATTCAATCCGAAAAGGAAGGAGAAACACTTGGGCTCTGAAATTTACATCGGTTTTGGGGGGGGGGTAATGGAGACTGAGAGGGCAAGGTAAGAAGAGCCCCTTACACTCCCTGTGTAGCAATGCTATAGCACGCACCCACCCTACCCCCAAACAAGAGACATCAAGAGACTCTGCTGTTGTTTTTGAGCATTATTCAGATCCTTGATGAAGCCCTGCACCCCGAGTCTTGAGCTATTCTAAGGTGATGGTTGAGGAATATCAGCCGAATCACAGGGCTCCTCAAAAGGGGAAACCGAAAGGAGGACGCGCTGTTTTTTTGTCGGGGGGTTTTGGTATGGGGATAGTGCTGAAAGATGACGTTGCTTCCTCCAGGAGGGAGGAGTACATGCAAGGCTACTTAGCTCGAGAGGCTGACTGACTGTGCCAGCAGCTGCAAGAGAATACCGATCCAATAACAAACGTGTTGGCCGTTGATCTGAACTCCTTATATACTCGTTGGGATCCAGAAGAAGCACCAGTTTTCCTTTTAGTTAGTGGTTGTGGAATAAGCATATCACAAGTGCACCACATCCCTGTTCAGATTATTCAGGCCGCTGTATTGGAACACAGCTTGAGCGCACTCTCCACAGTCATCCGAAAACGTTATGCGCGCATCTCCACGACCAGGTGACTGCCATGCCACCTGCACCACAAGTGCTGCTTGGCTATGACCGAACGTGTTGCTGCTGTTCGTTGCTGTTGTCTAAAGCCTAAATCTCTCCGCTTAACCCAAACCCAATGTCTTTCTTTTACATTTCGGTATGTTTACGTCACAATGTGAGACAGTATTGAATCCCCTGAATCACATCTTCATGGCTTCTTTTGGATCGAGGACGGTCCCGTCTTTAGGGCTCTTTAGGGCTTAGGTTTGGTCTTCATCAAAAGGGGGTCAGAGGCCACAAGGCAGTTCATCTTCTCTTCCGAGCTGGGCATGGACGTGTTGACTGCTTCCATAGCCAAGAATGTCTGTCGTCTGTTAAGGAAGCGCTCTAAATGTCCCTAGTAAAAGACCCCACTAGGTAAAAGACCCCAAAACCCTCCAAATCCAATTCGGCATACCCCGCTCTAAATAGGCAGCAATCACAGTCACACTCACCATCATTATCATATTCGTCATCTCAGAGGTCATGATGAAGATGATTGATTGACAACGGTGTTAAGACTGAACAAGATCGGATACTATAACATACTAGAATTATATACTATAATGTACTACTTACAATATACTACAAGATCTGGGTGCCAGGCCGACGATGTCCCTTGCCCCAGAGACGCCCTGCCGGATGCGCCCGATCAGCTTTGAAGACCGCGAGACACCTCCACCCCTGCCATACCAGATGCAGGCGATTCCTGGGGTGCTGTGGCGTTCGGAGTCTTGGGGTGTGAAACCCTTTTGGGATTCGGTGGTTTGGGTTTAGAAGTTTAGATGCCACAAGGCTTTTACTGGTTTTGTGAGAGCTTTTGTTTCCGGCTTTCCTGGATTCTTCAGGGGGGGTTGCTAGTCCCAGACGATAGCCCCAAGGCAGGGTCCGAGGAGCTGTGCGCGCGACGGCAGAAGAAGTACGCAAGGTTTCATGTGAAAAACCGTGTGACTCCTGGGCAGTGAATGGATTGTCTTGGCGTGGCTGTGAAGGTAGAACTCCAACCAAGATCCCGTTAAAACAAATGCCCTCCTAGAATCCTATCAGAACTCTATCTAACATCCCTAAACCCTAAACCCTCAACCCTTTTTGCCCAGGCCGTCGATGGTTTCCATCAGTTCCACGCAGGGCAGCTGGGTGTCGTGAACGAGGAGCCAGGGCCCCTGTTGCTTTCGAGCAGGGGCTTCGGGTTGCATGGGTTCAGATTGGGGGCTTTAGGGTAATAAAATATAGGAGTTTCCGAAAATAGGGGATCCTAATATAGTACCCTAAAAAGTAGGATTAAGGCTTTAGGGTAATAAAATATTGAGTGTTGGGATTTTCGAGTTTGCTTAGTGTACGCGTCGCGTGTATATGGCTCGAGGTTGGTCCGGGCTTAGCAGGTTAGGGGTCATTGCTGACAACTGACAGTCGGGCTTCTAAGGAAGAAATGCCGACCAGGTCAACTTCCTGAGATGTGTCACAGAGCGCGAGCATATGTGGTGCACAATCCCAGGAATGAAAAGCATGCTCCCTTATTCTTGGGATCTTTTTGTGCTGTGGTTTGGTTGGTTGACATGGGCTTCGAGTACTTGTTCATCACCTTTGAGCTTTCTCCGCAGTGCTACCATAAGGGCGAGTATTCAGCTTTGTTCAGTACTGCATGTTCATGCTTCCTGCATGACGGGCTTGTTTCATCAAGGATCCACAGTTAGGCTAGGCTTACTTACATCTATGAAATGCCACCTGCATTCAATGATTACCGTTCTGAGAATTTCTCTTCGGAAGCACGGTCCTGCTCGAGGTGCGAGAAGGTGAAGTTGACCTACGAGGATCCAGCGGCAGTGGCGGGAAGAGTTCAAGTTACTTACTGTCCTTTTCTGAAGGGTCGTTTGAAGTTACGCTACGATGCTCCCATATAAACTAGTGGGCGGTTGCTGGTTAAGACAGATGTCAGAGGAAGCTACATATTTCGCAAAATAGCGGCAAACACTAGATGCCATCGGTGGTAGCATCCTTCGCGAAAGCATCCTTTAAGCCCCCAAAACAGCCGTGTAGATCTGCTTATGCACGCCCGGTTTCAAACCTACAACGAGATAGCACCAGGCTATGCAGGTTTCAGATGTTGTCACCAGTTCTTGCTACATATCTTGGCTTTTGTAATTGGCGTCAGTGCTGTTGTGGTAGTTGGTTTGAGCATCGTTATGGGTTTTAGGTGCAGGATTAGCGGATTAGCGGCGTAAAGCAAACGTCCTTTTTGTTTGAGGACGCGCTGTCTCCTCGAAGCAACCGCGATTCGACACTTCTGCCGATTCCGAAGGACCGTGCAGAAATCTTGAACCCGTCTTGCTGATACCGCCACCAAGGAAAGGCATAATTAGTGTCCTCCTCTACTACAAGTCTTGTCTGCCGACGACGACGAGTAACGATACAGGCGAAGGACATCTGCAGATGTAAGGCCTTGGTATTGGCGCTGCCTTCCGTTTAAAGCGCAGAGCATCCACATAAGCTAGCATGCTAATGCGGTCTGTTTCAAGACTCTATCGGCAGGGCTCATCTTGTTTGTCGATTTTCAGACGCCCGGACGCTTCTACATCCGGGTTCTGTTTGGAATACTGCTGCAGGTGGTGCTGAGATCTGTGCATCCGTGCCCAAACGTATCGGTTGCAGATCTAACCATGTTCTGGCGTGCCTGGCATGGGGCTTGAGGACTTGTGTGCGCTTTCGCCATTGCTGAGAATACAAGTCCGCCGGAACTTGTACTACGGAACAATATTCAGCTCCCCAAGCCGATACACCGGGCCAGGTTAAAACCCTAAAGTCCCTAAAGCCTATACACCCTTATTCATAACGCTATAGCAAACCCCGTAGAGCTTGGCAAGCCATCAAAGGAGCCCCTCACAGGAACATGGACCCTTATGTTCATTGGCCCAAAGAGTTGTCGAACCTTTTGAACACATTTCAGCCAGCGTTCAGGCTTGCGGCATGGGCGTGCAGAAGCTTGTCAGACGTGGTTGCAGCCTGCTAAAATCTGTACACTATCATCACACACGCACACACTTGCAAACTCCATGGTGGGAGTAGTTAGCACTTGGTTACATCTTCATCTTGGTGGCAAACTGCACAATCAATGTACAGCAAAGATTCTGCCGGGTTCTTGGCTTAGCCCTTGCCATAATCACTCGCAGGTACGTCAGTCCAGCGTCCCAGACTGATATCACAGACAATACACACACACACACACACACACCACACACACACACACACACACACACGCACGCACGCACGCACGCACGCACGCACGCACGCACGCACGCACCACGCACGCACGCAACGCACGCACGCACGCACGCACGCACGCACGCACGCACGCACGCACGCACGCACGCACGCACGCACGCACGCACGCACGCACGCACGCACGCACGCACGCACGCACACGCACGCACGCACGCACGCACGCACGCACGCACGCACGCACGCACGCACGCACGCACGCACGCACGCACGCACGCACGCACGCACGCACGCACGCACGCACGCACGCACGCACGCACGCACGCACGCACGCACGCACGCACGCACGCACGCACGCACGCACGCACGCACGCACGCACGCACGCACGCACGCACGCACGCACGCACGCACGCACGCACGCACGCACGCCACGCACGCACGCACGCACGCACGCACGCACGCACGCACGCACCGCACGCACGCACGCACGCACGCACGCACGCACGCACGCAGCACGCACGCACGCACGCACGCACGCACGCGCACGCTGCACGCACGCGCACGCACGCACGCGCACGCACGCACGCACGCACGCACGCACGCACGCACGCAACGCACGCACGCACGCACGCACGCACGCACGCACGCACGCACGCACGCACGCACGCACGCACGCACGCACGCACGCACGC